TTTTGAAACAATGTTATCTGAGAGTTTTGGACTTTAATCAAGTCAAAAATTATTTTTATGTCTAGTAGTATTAATATTGTAAGAACAGTACTGATATTGTTCATGTGATATCGATGTAGTATTTATGCCAATGCTTTAAAAATACATAGTAGTACAAATACTCCTTTAGTTTTGAAATTTTCAATATACAAAATTAGTACCGATATTACTACAGTAATGATACTACTTATCGATGTTCCAAATGATAGTATTGACACTGCTCTTGTGTTTTTGAAAATGTAAAATTCTAGTAAGCAATTTTGGTATTGATACTCTCCAGTATAGATACTACTTATACAATAGTATTGATACCCCATATTTCTCAACGACTATATTTTTATAATTAATGCAGGTAGTATCGATAGTCCAAGAATGAGTATCAATACTCAAGGCGTCTGGGCAACATTTATTCCAAGAAACTTCATCCACAACTACACAAATGGATAGAATTGAATGAAAGGGTACAAAAACAATATTCCAAGTCATATATGAAGACAAAAGATAAAAAAAGCCTAAGCAATCAAATAGAGTCAAATTCAAGTCAACATTCTTCAATATTTCTTTTACTTTCAAAGAACATTTTTGTGTTCATTTATTAAGTGTTCTTATTTGCTCTAGAATTGTACAAACACATTCCTAGTGAGGTTTTTATAAGTTCGCAATTTATAAGTTTCTCTTTGAGAGTGTCTCAAGAATTTGAGGTATAATTCTTAAGAGAGTTATAATGTTACACCTTATCCTCAAATGTTGCTACAAATTAGTGAATTTGTGAAAATCCTTAATGTGGATAGCTAAGGTAGTGGATGTAGATTTTGGTTTAGAAAGTTGAACCACTCTAAATTCTTGTGTTCAATCTTTTCAATTTTTCTTTAAGGTTCCACCAAAATTTTTTTTTGTCAATTCACTCTCTCTTGGCTATTCTATTCGTTTGATTGACTCAACACTTTCGACTGGGTTCCTCGGAGAGAATCGAGGCATAGGAGGGAAGATTTTCCTCTAGTTGGTTTGTCTTCATCTCAACATCTCGTGTGATTCCAAGATTTTGTGGCCTGAATCACACTTTCTTGGTATCAGCAGAGGATTCCGATAGTTTTTTATTTCAATATTATGATAACGTCCATGACTTCATTGTGTACATTGTCAATTAACTAAGAAAATTCTAAATAAATACTATCGTATAATTACTCTAAATTAATAAAAAATATTTTATTAAAACTAATATTCTTATTGTATTCGTTAGCATTAATATCACATTAACGTTTAAATTAGGTCAATTGTTTAAATAAATTTATTAGAAAATTAATATATCATAAATTAATTTATTATTATTTAAAATAATTGATAAATTTTTTAAATGAGAAATTACATTAATTTAAGAGCATTAATAGCAATAGTAGACGAGACAATCTCAGGACAAATTGAGTTAAATATATAGCATTACTTGGACATAGAGATAAAAAAGCGATAGAGCAACCACATTTGTCGCCCGACAAATAAGGCCTACATAAAATTCACCATTGTCCGAGCATGTTGAAGATGAAAATCTAAAGCTGATGACAACACCTTAACTCATTAAACCATAGCTGAATCAGTTTCGATGCAAACCTGAGACCATCCATTGTCACAAGTGCAAGGATTTCGGCCTCACCACATCACACCATAGAGAGAATTGAGTCAAACCACGAAGCCTGCACACGTCCTTGATGATCTCGCACGACACCGAATGCAGCAGTCCTAACGTTCCATCTACATTGACCTTAATCACTCCCACATGTAACCAAATTAGAATGATTCTTATCATATAATACATACCTTGTGAACTCAATTCATCCAGTTTCATAACATGATTTTACACATAATATACCAATTTCATATCATAACATAGACAATTCATGCTTCTTATCATATAATCAAATTAAAATGCTATCGATATCAGTTAAACTAAAACATGTAATTAGAGATTCAAAAGATATCATATATATATATATGTGTGTGTGTGTGTGTGTGGTGAACACAATTCTTCCAAAAACATATCATCTAACATAACCGATCCAACTAAAGGCTAATGTCAAGCCCTAATCATATAATCAAACATAAGATATATATATATGTGTGTGTGTGTGTGTGGTGAACACAATTCTTCCAAAAACATATCATCTAACATAACCGATCCAACTAAAGTCTAATGTCAAGCCCTAATCATATAATCAAACATAAGTACATATAGAAATGCACTAACCTCTACTCCAAGCTATGTGTACATGTAGAAATGCTCAAAGCTTCTCCTTTCCTTTGGAATATCCTTCTTCCAACTCTCTTTTACATGATTAATTTACCATGAATAACAATTGAAGCCATAGATTAGTAATATATCATAAAATTGCTTCCAAATTACAAGAATTAAACAAAATCTAAACATGGTTCTATGGATTCTTACCTTTTCTTTCTCAACCAAAACCCTAACTTTCTAATTTGCTATTCCTAAACTTGAGCATTTAAGTTTAGATAACTCCCCTTGTCAGTTGGTTAGAATACCTTCAATTTCTTAATTCTTTCTCCCTAAACTTTTCATTGTTATGGTAAGTAAAGGAAGAAGAACGTGTTCTTGCCCTTATGTTCATCTAAATTAGAAAAGAGATGAACTTATAATGATCACCAATTTGTACCATCATTAAAATTGGCCTATTTATCCTTTAAGGGCTCTTCCTTTGCTCATTTCTCCAACCACTTGTATTTACTAGATAACTTATCAAGTTATCACTTTAAGTCATAAAACCGAATTAATTCAATGTCAGGGTAAGTTCAATATATTTAATTAATTAATATATGACCCAAAACTTGATATTTAATCCAATTAAATATCAGAACAAATTGAGTTATATAAAACATTAAGGCGTTACAATATCATATATCGTGTATAGATCTTGGTAGGTTCATATATTTGTGTTCTTATTATGTCTAAAATTAAGACAAGAATCAAATAAGATTACGTAACTTTAAGATAATGTTAAAAAGAAGATATCAAAGAGACTCTTTGGTCTTTTATTATCCTATTGATATGATTCAACAAGGGTTGATTCTAAACCTTGAAAACATCACTTTTTTATATATTACTGAACACTGTATGGTTGATAGTCTTGGACGTCTCTTTGGCAGCTTCAATTGTGGATTGTATGGTGTTGTTTTGCAGTTTCTTAGATGTCATCCAACATCTGCACCTCCTGTACCATATTCCACACCAATGTTTGATACATGCCCACCTTATCCTCATCCATTTCCAGTTACTGCCCCAACCCCAACATCTGGGTCCACCAAATCCGTTGTTCCCACCTGACCCGAACCCAATGCCACGTCCAGTATTATTTCCTGGTTGACCCCATGATTGTCCAACGCCACATCCATTATTGCTTCCTGATTGTCCAACGACGCATCCATTGTTTCTTGGTTGACCCCCTGACCGTCCAACGCCACATCCAGTATTGTTTCCCGGTTGGCCACATGATTGTCCAACGCCACATCCGGTATTGTTTTCTGGTTGACCACATGATTGTCCAACGCCACATCCCGTATTTCTTGGTTGACCCCCTGATTGTGCAATGTCAATTCCAATACCTTTTCCGTTTCCGTTTCCGTTTCCATTTCCAATTCCAATACCATATCCGACGTTGTTTCCTAACTGACCCCCCGATTGTCCAGCATTTCCCGACTCGCACCCTGATTGTCCAAGGCCATACCCAATGCCCTTTCCACTGCTCGTTCCCATGGTGTTTCCTGAGGCATTTCCTATGCCATGACCAACCCCTTGTTTTTCATGGGCAACAGGGTTCACTTCTTTGTGGGCATGGTTAGCTTGGTCCAACAGGAACCTATTAGCCGAACTCAATCCCAAGTATAAACAAACTGAGAGAATCATGCAAGTAAATTTTAGTATTGAGGAGGAGGAGGCCATTTTGTTGGTCTTCTTCAATGTGATTCCAAGGGTTTCACATCATTGCTTTATATAGTAGCTGAAAATGACAGTAAAAGACGGAAGATTTGAGGCAAGTGCAACGCTGATTGTGTTTGCTTGTTTGTTTTGTGCTTCTAATATGGGATCATGGACCTTACATGAGTAGTCATTTTGTGCCTTAATTTACTGCAACACCAATCGCTCATTATTTACCAAGCAAAACAGAAAACAAAACCATCATCTCATGTGTCTTATGCCTTTTCATCACCTCTTAATTTAATAAACTAACAAGGATGTTTAGTTTAAGCACTTAATTAACTGCAAATAATTTGTTGTTTTCACTTCAGGATCATGGAATGATAAGACTTTGAGGTTCATGGATTCGTTTTAGGGTGATTTTGTTATCAAACTTTAAAATCCTATTCAATTTTTTTACCCCATTTACAATATTTTCAAAAAATTGCACAATATCCTGTTCTTTCCCAGGAATTCAACCTTTTTCTTTTGCATATTGATGACGAGTAAATGCTGAACACTACTCAATCATTTGAGCTTCATAGAACCGGATACTTTCATCACCATTCAAAAGAAAAATCTCTTGCAAAAGATATGTTTATGAGGATAAGTCTCAATTTAGTACCCATCGATAAAAGCTTAACAATGATGTTAACGTATCACACCATAAGGAAATATCACATCTTAAAAAAAAAATTAAAAATGTAGCATCAGAATTTCTGTTAATTTTTTAACGATATAATATCAAAATGAAACTTAAACTAAAAATATTAAGTATGGTTTTGAAAATTAAAAAAAAAAACATACTTAATATTTTTTAATGGCATGATACCAAAATGAAACCTAAACTAAAAATATTAAGTATGATTTTGAAAAAAAAAATTAAAGTTTGAGTACTAAAACGGAACAAAAGTGATAGTTTAGGTATTAAACGTATAATTTACCCGTAGAAAAATATAACAATTCCATACTCATTCTAATTTCCATTAGAGCATTACAAAAGCTGCTATTCTTCAGGAATTTCTCACAATTCTACACAGCTCCAAGAAAAAAAGAGAAACGGTACAGCAACTGCGAATGATTATCATCTATGTAGAACATTGTTCATCTCTCCAATAAGTTTATTACCACATGAGAAAATATCCCTCCAATCCAAAATGTTGGGGGAGCTCCTTAAAAGTTGTTTAGAGGTAATTTATGCCAACATTCAATGCCTTACTCACCACCACCTTCGGATTCCATGGCCTTCAAACTTTCAGCCAACATTCGGTCCCTATTCTGCTGCTGTCTTTCTACAGCAACCATATAAAGGCCTACACAAGTAATCACAGTGAAACTACAGGCATGAGCAATGAAAGAAGATAAAAGTTTATGATTTCTGAGTAACTTATGTAATGCAATATGTGCCGAGTTCAACATTAAGAATGCATACCGATTGCACTTCCGATTGCGCAGGCCCAGAGAATCCTCATAGACCACTTATCTCCGATAACTCCTCGGGTTCCCATAGCTACAAAAACCAATTAAACTAATTAGCATAACATCAATACAGTGCATGCTTGTTTATAACTTTATGGTTAAACACTTCCCTCGCTCTCTCCTTCTGGCACCAACGGTGCTTAGGTGTCCCCTCTGAGAAGTCACAACCTTCATAGTAGGGTTACGAAAAAGTTTGAACCTTTGGTTTGAAAAGAAACCGCTACTTCCAAGTTCTCAACCACACGTTTTCTGTTTTAACTAGAAGCACCTATGTGGTGTTTCTTCAAAGGAAGAACCTTCACACACACAACTTTTAGCCTTGTCTAATCAAGATACCATTAGCATTAATAATGCATTTGACATGAAACCTTTTCGATCGAATAATTTAATGGCGGAAGCAATCAAACTTGTCATCGAAATCACAATGAAGCTTTCATATGAAGTTCCTGATACAGAATCAACTCGCTGGTATGCTCGAAATGGGAGAAGCCGTATGAATTTTGAATTTACACTAATTTTATACAACCCATGAGGCTATGATTTCCTTGGTTTAGATTTATATCTCTATGGCCTTGCATAAAATTCTACTTCTTGGGGGGAGATGAATACATTTCAATGATACTCTTTTCTTCCCCCATTACTGGTGAACAAAAGTGCACGGATAAGAAAATTACATTTACAATCAGAGTTTCAACAGATTAAAAATCAAATATTTCGAGGTAGCTGTTTCAGATTAGAAAATGAAGGAAGACCCAAGTTCCAACAACACTTGAACGAAAAAGAAAAAAAAAACCAACAAATAAGCTATCAAACGAAACCCAGAAAAAAATCATCAATCACTGTAAAAAATAGGGAAAAAGAACAGATTACCTTTGAAGACGCTAAGCCAAGAAATCAAAGTGTTTTTGTTTTTGTTAGTCTTAGAATCTTGCTTGAGTGTTTCTTAGGGCTTATCATTACAGCGGCAGCTGAAATTGGGTTTTAAGCAGTGTTTCTCAGGCTCTTCGACGTCGCGTGGAACTTGTAACTCTAATCCTTTTTTTTTTTTGGTAAACTAATTCAAATACCATTCATCTTTAAGTTCGGGATCGAAAATGTCACTGACGTTTTAATTTTCTCAATTTTAACACGGATGTTTATGCTTCACTGCGATTTTGCCACTCCGTCGTTAATCCGTTAACGGCACGATGACATAGCGTTCCAATGCCGTGACTATGATGACATGGACTACTTTTTTAAAGTTTTTTAGTCCACGTAGGATCGTTGTTGGCATTTGATTGGTATTTTGTGTGATATAAATACCTATTTTATAACTCTAACCCTAAATTACTCGATTTGCTTCATTCTATCTTCTCATCAGCAGCAGACAAAATAGGAAGAAAGAAGAAGAAGTTCGTCGCTGGAAGAAGCAGAATAATGGAGCAATCCCTTACATATCCAGTCTGTGGGTGTGGATATCCGGCTCAACTGAGGACATCATGGTCCAATGATAATCTCGGGAGAAGATTTATTGGCTGCAAAAACTATGGGAGTTTGGTTCTACCTGGTTGTCGATTTTTCTATTGGTTTGACCCTCCAATGACTCTACGGGCACTCGTTTTTCTTGTGGGATTATTGAAGAAAATCAAAGCAACTGAAATTAGAAGGAGGAATGAGAGAATTGTTTGGAGTGTTATTTTTATTTTAGGGTTTATATATTGGGTTGGTACGTAAACCATTGATGTTAGAACAACAGTGATAAAATTTTAGGGTGGAATTTGTGATGATGGTACTTTTGGTTTGTAATGGGACGAAAAATTGAGGGTGAAAATTTTAAGATAAACGGGTTGGTGCTTGTTAAAAATGATGGTGCTTGTTAGATGGTTTTGTAAAATTAACTATTGAGCTTTGCTTGTTAAAAAAACTTGGTGCTTTGATGCTTACAATTTTTTTATCTTTAAAATGTCAAACATGAATGATAAACAAAATAAATTTCATTCAATTAGAGTTGTGGTTGATAATAAACACATGTGTACAAAAACATAAAGTGCACATAAGCACTTAAGTTAAAACAGTATCAGCCTATAAAACCCAGCAAAATATGAAAAAAATATTAATGTGAATAAACACATGTATTCAAAAGACATAGTTCATAAACTTAAGTATTCAATCCAAAATATCAACCCAAGTATCTAAGTTCTGAAATCATCCAAATATCAACCTATAACATCCTTAGTCGTTTTGCAAAAACAGTTCCACAGTCTTCTTGGGAAGTCTGGGTTATAGTGCTTAACTGGCTTAATTGTTGGTTGGCAGTCACATTTTCTTGTGAGGGTGGCATCCATCTAACTTTCATTACAGTTTATGTTTGCTAGTTGGTTGTATAAAATGTGTGGCCTGGAGTAGGAATAAAGACAAATGGAGGCTCAGCTTGTGATGATGATGGTGGTTGTACTGTTGCAGCTTGTGATGATGGTGTTTGTGATGTTGCAGCTTGTAATGATGGTGTTTGTGATGTTGCAGCCTTTGATGATGGTGTAATCCTTGTTGTAGTTCTTCTCCTAACCTTTATTCATAAATGTATCAAAATCTCAAAACATAATTGTGATATAAGGCTAAAAAATAATAAGAAATATATACATGTAATTTTCTCCGGATGTGCCTCGATTCAACCCTTCTTTCGTTGGTTTCCCTTATGGAGTTGAAATTAGGTCGCCTAGGTGGCATGTTGCCTCCAACTATCCCTTTGCAGGTCCTTTGGTTGTGTCCTGGTTGACCACACTTAGAGCAATACATCCTTGGACCTTTCTTGCTCATTGTAGCATGAGAATTTGATGGCTCATTTGCTTCCTTTCTCCTCTTTTTTTAGGTCTTCCTGGTGGTCTTCTAATTGTTGGTGGTATAACTGGTTCACAAGTAGTGTCAGTTAGCCACTGATTGGGGCCTCTCATGGGTTGAATGAAGTGACTATAAATTTTTTGCTGAGTGGTTACAAAATAAGAGTTGTGAATATAAGCTTCAGACCTTTGATTATTTAACATCATTACAGAAATAGCATGTATGCATGGGATTCTTATTAATGAAAGAAATAAAAATGGTAAAATTAATAAAGTAAATGAGAATAATATTGTAACATAAGACACTTGATACAAACCAGTGAGATCCCACTTCCTACATGAGCAGGAATGATTTTCTAAATCAATAGCATGCTGGTTAGATGGTCCAGCAGGCACTTGATATTTTTGACCTCCTGCGTGTGTAGGCCAACACCTACACATAAAAATGAATCAAGAATAAATAACTTAAAGTTATAATTGGAAACAAACTTAACAATACTTACACATTAGTAAGAACAAATAGTTTAACAATACCTAGTGGACTGTTGAATTGCAAGTTCAATTTTTTTTTTGGATTCTTGGACACAAACTTCTAGTGTACTTGTTTGCAACTTCCTTTTTCATGGCAATATTTTCCATTATCTTGGTCCTAATCATCTCCATTAAAGTCAAAATTGGTTTATCGCGAGCTTCTAGAATCATCTTGTAATAGAACCAAAAAATGGCTTAGAATCATATTGTAATATAACTAATTTTATTCATTTTACCTTGTTAAAACAATCAGACAAATTGCTGAGTAGCATGTCTGATTTACTCCTTGGGGAGAAATGAGATTTAGACCATTGGGCAGGGTCTTTTGCATTCAACCAATCAAAGGCTGGTTTTGATAATGCTTTCAGTTCATCCATTGTATCTTCAAACTCTTTTTTGTAAGTAGCTCTAGCTGCCTTCCACAGTGCATCCTTTAAGTTCTTTCCTTTGAATTGAGCATTATTCTTAAAGTTGGAGTACAAGTGTCTCACACAAGTCCTATGCTCGGCATTAGGTAAAACATGCATCATTGGCTCAACCAGTCCCTAAAAACAATAAGCAAAGTATTAGAAAAATTGTTCATAATATAAAGGAATAATTAATTAAAGGGTAAATCAAAATTACCTTTTGCTTGTCTGACATAAATGTGATATTATGGGAGGTTTCAATCTCCAAATCAGTTGCCAACAGTAAAAGAAACCAAGTCCAAGATGATTCATTTTCACTCTCAATAACAGCATAAGCAATCGAATAGATGTTGTCATTACCATCAATACCAACAGCAGCCAAAATAGTACCTTCATAATAGCCCTTAAGGTGACAACCATCAATGCTAATTATAGGTCTACAACCTTTGAAACCTTCTTTGCATGATTGTAAACATATGCACATTCTTTCAAACACCCTATTATCCAATTTTAGAATTGTTGTGCTTCCAGGATTAGAAGACCTCATTTCTCCAAGAAAATCATATATCTTTGAGTATTGACCCTTGTGACTCCCAAGGACCATATCAAGAGCTAAGTGCTTAGCTCTCAAGCATTTACTCAATGACACTTTATACACATGATCTTCTAATACATCCTGTCTTAAAGCTGTAATTGGGTACTGAGGATTAGCCTTAAAATTTTCAAGATATGTTTTAGCCATCCACTTATAGGTTGCATTTTTATTTTTAAAACCCATCAAGCAATTATAATCTCCTACATAAGACTTAATCTGCCATGAGGTGTTTGTTTCATCTTTTCGATCAACCCTTGATGCCAAAATATACCACGGACACCCTTCCTTGCAAACAACATGCACCCTAACACTGTCAGTTCTTTTGAATCTGACATCAACCCTATTCTTAATCCCATACTTCCTGATAGCCTATTTGAACTTCAACTTATCACCCAAAATCATTCCAACTTTAAACTGTGGGTTTTCCATATCAGTTTCATCGTTAAACTCAGGACATCTATGTTTTCCTCAACCATCAGAGTCAGACTCAGAATCATATTCATTTTCAGTATGCAATGACTCTACTCCATCAATTTCATTTTCAGCAATCAAAGATGCATTAATATTTCCCTCATCCCTATTATTTAACCCATTAAAATCTCTTTCAAAATCTACTCCCATATGTACGTCATGTACAAACCCCTCTTCCTCACTCACATCATTTTCACTGTATTCAAAACCACTTACAGAAGAATCAGTGTCATCAACAACATATTCTATATCTTCTTCAGAGTTTAACTCAGTCATGAATGTTTCATAAGTTTCATGAGTTTCATGCATTTCAGTTATAACAGTTTCATGAGTTTCAGTTGCATTCTGATATCTGGTTTCAGTGGTTTTGTTCGAAAAGTTTGCTTCAAAATGTTTGCTTCATTTTCTTCTAAGTACAAATGAATGTGTCTATTCCTGGGCATATCTTCTAACATGCTAATGATATCACAATTTATTCGTAATGGCTTAACAGTAAATTTAGGCCCATATTGTTTCCAAAACAAATGCCACAAACCAGAATAACCTAACTCTTCCACAATATCATACATTTCAAGCACTGACATATTGTCCACATGGCACATATCAATAAAACTTACCTCATTTCCAGTGTATTTAAAACCACTAGAATTTACCATAAAGCCACCATGTGCATAACAATTGTGAAATATTCAGATTCTCTACCTGTCAAAACTCATTAAAAAATCAGCCAGTATTAAAAATTTACTTTACAATATTAGTGGTCCCCTTACACTACTTTTAGAACACTGATAACAAATATATAAAACCAATAGATGGGTCATCATTAACTTGTAAAAAAAATTGGGACCACCATTGATGACAACTTTAGAACAATTAATCATACAAGCATCAAATTTGATGCAACAACCACCGACCATAAAAAGGTTTACAAATAGTCAACATCCATCAATATACATTTATATGGATAAACTATTCATTCAATACAGTCATATGCGCCAACATTATAGTCATGTGGGAAAGCAACAACAATCATATTTAGATCGTATAAAACGCTAAAAACC